ATTCTGGTGGCCAAATTTCTCCTTTGATATCAATATTTTATCGATTTAACCTTTATCTGCCACACCCCCTTCAGGATTCATTCGTTTTTAATCCTCTTTTCGGTGTTTAAAGCTTCAATCTTGTCAGACAAAGCCTCGTACACATCGACGGATAGGACAAACATTCTGAGATCGAGTAACGAACTTGTGTTCGCACATCGACGTACAAGTACTTATTAGTGTGTTTCTTCTACCTAGATGCAAATATGTCATATTAAATAAGGAAATGCTCCGGGGGACCTTCGAACCATGGTGGGTTAGATTCGAACCAAGTGGACCCCCGCTCACTGGAAAAACGAATGTGACATAAAACGCGTGCGGGCGGGCTTTCCTACCGTCGCTCGCCATGACGCCCTTACGGCCCTTACGCACGTAAGAATCTGGTACAGTATAAGCATTAAAAAATGACGGTGCGGATCACCCAATACGGGAGGACGTACAGGTAGATCAAGAGTTAAACTGCACAATGGTCCTATCGGAAATACAATTAAAATTTCGCCTAGAAAATATTCAACAACTCAAATTGACAAAATAATGCATCAACTGGTAGCGTGTGACACGTACACTTGTCTTTATTCAAGTGCTGACACAAACAGTGTAAAAGAGCCCCTACAACTAAGGCCGGCCTTCTCAAATTAGATGTACCCCATCACGGCACTGGTTTTCCATTTTCCCCCCGGCTTGAGATTAATTTCCCACCCACAACGCTGCTGATATATATGGTAGTAGTGTCCTGTTGTATTGTTAGCCTCACCCTCAGGCTGTTTCCAAAAGTAAAGAAAGAAGGCCCGAACGGCCCGAACGGCCCGAACGCCTCTTAAACGTGTACATTTCAGTTCTTCAGAAGCTTCCAAGAGACCAGGAATATTGCGATTAAAAACTGGTCAACGCCATGGGCCTATAATAGCCCACCTCCGTGACCTGAGTCAACTCCAATTAATTAAGGAGTCGTTAAAGAGCGTCGAAATGCACTACAAGGTACATTGGTGACGCTTTTAAAGATCATCGAAGCGTTTAGTGCCCATGAAGCAAATTTAATGTATCACCAATGTTTTACCCCTTATGTGAATTTCTACGGGCGCGCATTTAACGCGTGCGTGTATTCAACTTGCAGTAGCACAGCTAGTTTAGCAGTGCATTCAAGCTGTGTACCAATCGTACGGGGCTCTTTACCAGCATGATCATGATCAGTTGTTTAACACAAATAAAACGTCACAGAGAGGAGAATGTGGAAAATAAAGGTTAAATCGATAAAATATTGATATCAAAGGAGAAATTTGGCCACCAGAATCCCAGAAACAGAATGTAACTTAACAAAAAACAGCCTTCAGCATTTGTAAATTTTTGTGTATTTTGGTTAAATATGGTCATTTTATTCCAATTTTATGGTCCAAATTAATTTTAAAATGCACAATCGTGTTCAGCACCCCCGAAAACATAGGAATCGATGTGAAACGCATCAAGACCCATAAATTTGAATTTCGGTGCATTTTGGTTAAAATTAAGCATTTAATGAACTTTTATTGCACGAAATTACTTTTTAAGTGTAAAATCGTGATCTACGCCCCAAAAAACATAGGGCAGGACACTTGGAACGCTCAAATATGACCAAAAGCAGAAAACCACTTAAATTTGGCGCTATTTTGGACGCCATCTTGAATATCTCACTTCCGGTTGAAATTTCGAGTTGGCAAATGTCATTTTTGGATTCAGCGGGGTCGAAATAGGGGGGAACCGGTGTTAACTCAATTGTTACATGAAATGCTTCTTGCATTTGGATTTTCTCAAAACAAGACCCGACTAAAGCACGGAGACGCGCTCGACGACGGGGCGGGGCCGGGCGGGACGTCCCGCTTAAGTATGTAGAATTTAACTCGCCGGCTCCGCTGCGCTGCTAACCACATCGTTGGCACGGCCCCTAAGACGACGGGTCGTAAAGGGAGCCCTCCTCTCGGGCACTGGGGGGCCTGGTGGTGGTCACCAAAGCTTTCCCCTCTCTCTCTGTCTCTCGCTCTCGGGGTCGGGGAGGCGAATAATCGCCGGCGGTGCCCGGCCCGCTGGCCCGCGAGCACCCGCGAGCGAGAGCACGTTAGGGCGCTGACGTCATGCAGCAGAGTCTGCCAAAGTCTCGTCGCGACCGAGCCGTCCTCCCTCACCGCGCGGCCGCGGCGGGCCTTCCCCGACACCCAGATACTACTACCCGCCCCACGGAACCGTATGGCCAGGCCGCACACGGCTCCACGACAGCAAACTCTGGCCGAACACGAAGGGTCACACGTCGATCCACCCGCCCAAGGGATCGAACCCGTGGCGACGTCATCGTGCACGGCGCGGTGCAGGCCGCACCTCACGGGCATGAGCCACGTGGGAGCGGTATTTCTGGGTGGCCTTGTCGCGTCGCCCGCCGAACATCAAAACGCACGCGCGCGAACGCCACGCGTGACGGTAGTGCCCGAGCAGGCGGGGAAAGCCCGGCGGGGGTGGCGGCGCGATAGTGGCAGTGGTGGCGCCCCCGCGGGCCTGTCCGTGCCGGGCCGGGGTGTGAAGCATTAGGGAGGAGGTGCCGATCAGCAGGTGCGACACGGACCCACTACTTATCTGGCCGCACATCCTCGTCGCCGTGGTGCTCGCCGTGCTCTCTCGGCGGGAAACACAATACGTTACTATTGGCGCGGCGCCCATAAGGCGACCAGCCGACCTGCCGAAGCTCAAGCTCAACCCCACCCCGCAGGATGACGGTCAATTTCACGGCGTACTTTACAGTGAACCCCCGCTGCACAGTATGGGACTGGCCAGGGCGGTGCGGCGGAAAGTCACCCCCCCCCTTCCCTTTTCACAAAGGTATCATTTTGATCCCCTCTCGTGTCCGCGTTGAATATCGGCCAACTCCCGACAAGACAGACAGACCGGCCGGACTCCCCAGTGTGACGATCTTTCTCCCCCCTCCACTGTTGTCACAGGTGTTCACAAATTCACCTACCCTACCCCTTAAAAAAAGGGTGACGCAATTTGTGAACCGCCCCTTATAGGTATGCACCACGTGCCGTGACTTAGTGCTGGAGGTTTTGTAACTTGTGGTCACATTCAGGGTAGGCTTTGAACGGTGTACAGGGGAGACGGGGGGGGGGGGGGCTGTGTTCCTGCCCCACCTTGTCCCCGAGGGCACATAGCTGCACCCTGCAGGCGCGCACACCACCAGGCCGGCACGCGCTGGCTCACCCGGTAGATAACGCCGCACTGAGGAAACTTGCGCCATGATTCTGCCAATAAGAATGATCTTCCGTCAGTCATGAATCGACCTCTTCATTGCCAGTTCCGTGTGTGTACTTGGGTCGTCCTGGCAGCTGGCCCACCCCTCTACACTACTTCCGTCGTGATACGGGAGCCCCGGGGGGTACCTCGCGCCGACGACGGCGCCGACCTCGCGGATCGAACCCCGCGCCCGGCTGCTGGCCGGCTATAGTTGCTTAGGGCCAAAGCCAACAGCGTAGAGAATCGATATTCTCTGTCTGTGAGAGAGATAAAAGAGTTGGGTTGATGAAGTAAGGCAAAGGGGTGGTGCGGTGGGGGCGGGGGAGCGGGACGGGCTTAAATGGCAACGCAATCCTGGAAATCAATACCTACGCCTTTATTGTGCGGCACACGCAAAGGTCAAGGAAGACCGGCCTCAACTAACTGTGCACTGCTGTCCTACACCTGACCGCCGCCCTCCAGCCTCGGGGTAGGCAACTGCGGAGGTACAGCGCGCCCGCGTGCCGTTGGTTGCCTACCCGACGCCCCGACCCCGAAAGAGCCGGCTTCGGCCACGGCAGACAGCTTTGGTAAGTCCGAGCCGACAACAGTTGAAGTCGAACCCTGACATACCTCCCCAACACCTTGACGGAACGAGCCTGATCTGATTGACATCATCTGCGATCCTACTTTTGACTCCCTTTGCTGAAAAAGGACATTGAGGGATTTGAGATGTAAATTGGGGGAGGGAGTTTACGAGGGCAGGGGCACCTCAGCATGAGCGGCAAGAGGCACCCCAACCCCCCAACCCCTGCACTCACACACACACACGTCCGCACACAAACACACCTGTTAGCGCCGTAAGAGCAGACGACAGTCGCCGGCGGCGGAGCTACCGCTGCTGTCAGTCATCCGCGCCTCGCCGATGCGGCAGGAACAACAACAACAACAACACTGACAGCCACGAGACCTCACACGAAACAACTTGAGAGTCTTCCTCACACACGGGCGCGCGTACGTTAAGAAACAATATCCAACAGTCCGGGTAGTTGTGTCAGGTACGGGCACGCAGAGTGGCGCTCTG